GGTGAGAACAAAGTGAGACTGCCTAGCTGATCCTAAGACCCGAAGATAGATAGATGTTAAAAAAATTGTAAAATAATTTTCTTTTGGCATATATTTAAAACCGTTTCTGAGGTTTTCGTATTAAGCGAGAACAAAAGAAGAGCACATACCGAACCAGGTTGAGGACAAGAAGCCTTGCCTGGTTTTGCATAATTTTCTTCCATCTGGCCTGTCCTGCTTTTCTGTGCTTAATATCTCACACTTTGCTTTTAAATTGTGAAGGTTCAATTTGAACAACACGAAAGACCACCACTGCATTCTCTTCTGAGTGATCAGTCCAGTCTCCATCACTGCCATCAGTTTTAATCGATGCATTTCTGTGTGACTCTTACAAGTGATTGATTGTCAAAGTGGATCTGTAATAGAATTATGTAATCATTTCCTGTTTCATTCTTTTCAAGTATGTGTCAGTTCATTTGCAGTCCTCATTATTCTACACCAGTTTAAAAAAAATTATACAAATTTATATATTTGACAGTTTTGTTCAGTCTGATCATAAATACAAATTTATATATTTGACAGTTTTGTTCATTCTGATAATAAATCGGATAGTACAAATTTCTTGATCACCTCAAAGTTTAGATTATGGATTCTCTAACCAGAGCTTCTACTGAATTACTTGTGCATGTCAACAGAAATATATGAAGATTCATCTGCGCCCCAGGATATTGCTAAACGCGTTCACTTTGTCAGTGCCAGTGGGATGTCTTGGTTTGTGGGTCGCAGCGAGGGAGGGACCTCTTAACACTAATTCCTAGAATCATTTGTGTCGCCAACACTGCATGATTATTACTATTCCAAGATTTTATTGAGCAAAGACACTACATATTGTTGTCATGACTACAGATTAGTAAGTCTACTTTTGTTGTGACATACTCTTCAAGCTTAAAAATGTGTTTAGTGTTTATTGGGAACCTTTTTGAGACCCAAGAAAAAAAATTCTGTGCCGTATTGATCCTTGTTAACATGCTATGTATTTATAAATATTTACAAATATACTTATAACCCCCATTTTACTCGCCTTTGTTTGGCTGTGATAGTTTGTCTCTCAGTTTTTACTTACTCCATAGAGCCGAGTCCTTCCCGTGAAGCCAACAGTCGTTCAACCACTGAAGAAATTCCCAACATTTTATGGAACCCGAAGGTTCGTCACCGTGCCCACAGGAGCCCGCCGCTAGTCCGTATCCTCCACCAGATAAATCCAGTCCATACCACCCCACACATAACCAATTAACACTGGTGCCAAAACACAGAACCACTTTACCTATACCTGAATAATGTTGACTTGCATTTAACAGTATGATCAACATGATGTTCAACATCCGTCAAGCCATTGCTCCCATCCCCATCAAATTCTTTAAAGCTCAGGTACTGAGGTGTCAGGGCCGCAAAATCGCTCCCTCTTAAACTGCCATGGCATGAAGATGCGTAGAGACTTTTAACTTTCAGCCTCTCAGTATGCGTAGACGTGGAACGGCTTCTCTCGTCCTTCGTGAAGAAGTAACTCTGTCTTGAGCACTTGCTAGTTACTCAGCTGACAGAGGAGTTACTGGTGTTTATGAATACCAGCGTGCAAAAGAGCCAACCGTTGTCAGCTGCTTCACACGTGGGTGCTACATGTCATTCCATCTATTCCTTGATCTAGTTACTTAATAATAATAAGAGCTTGAGTTAGGAATTGTGAATCTCTTTATTTTGACCTTTTCCCATTCACATTTTCACCCATATAGGGGTTCTCCACACTCGGGCATGTGCAAGAATCATTCCTATTTGTTACTGTCGTTCAAAGGATTTATTAACAGTGGTATTGCGATTTTTTTTCCCTCTGTATTCTGGTGACACGAGATGGACTGGCATTTAATGCATTCAGAGTTTTTATTTATGGCACTTACATTTCTAACAAATAATTGAACATGCGCTTATAACTAAATGAATGCATTCTCCTCTCTTCAAGTCTGTCCCGATTCAAGAGGACATTCCTCAGTATAATATCTTAAAATTAAGTTTAAAATCAATATCAATAGACCATTCTCTTGTATCAGACATTTCTGAAAGTTTATTTTAAAAACAAATGTAAATGTACACTTCATATTCGCCTGTCTGCAGAGGTTGCAGAATTTATGTACCAGTTCCAAGACATCCCACTGTGTGCTCCAATGTGCAGATATCTGCGGGGGATGGTCATTTATAGGGAATGCAGGGCTAGGGGCTTTAAGCTGTTTCAGACTCCTTCAGAGTCTTTATCTACAGTTTGGCACCGGTTTTATCAATTGCTGGAATACAATTCAACAACCGTGTCCACGAGACTCAATTATAATACATGTTATTAAGTTTTTTTTATGCTGGTTTGCTAAGTTACTGGCCATTAATGCATATTTCCACAGCAAGGACTTCACTAGAATTATGTGACTTCAAGTAATGTTCCACAGAAGTATGCCGTCATCCACGCTTTCCTTCCGAGGTAAATTAATGTTGTATGACTAGTGTGTGGTTAACATTGCCGGCAGAGAAAATGGTAGGGCCGGCATGTAAACGAAGCCTTTAGATGCCTTCTTCCAAATTTTTGAAATAAAAATTAATTGATGAAAGTTACATAACGCCAGGTTATCTCGACCCCTGTTTACACAGTAAGCAGAAGATGATTTGCATGAGTTGAAGTTCCATCATCTTAAGTGATTCTAACCATATTATATTTAACGTTACAAGAAGAACCTGCCATTACACCGTGTATAGATGCCTGCATTGTGTTTACATTTTGTTCACCGAGTGAAGACATTTTAGTTATATTATTGTGCAACTTTGAAAATTTTAATAACAGCACTTAAAACTGTGCTTTGCGTGGACGGCATTACATAAATATAGACAAGAATGATGTTTCAAGGATACGTTGAATGATATTTCCTCCACCTAAAGGTTGCATGACCTTGAAGTGGTGCGGGAGCTTGTGTGTTTTAATGACCCGCCGCCAAGCTATACCGGCGGTAGCTTGCTACTGGCAGGGCCTCCCTAGCCGGGCAGACTAGCAGATATTAGAGGAGAAACTAACAAATGAAGAATGCGATGATGTTGATAAAACCTGGGAGAACCTCAAGCAAGGGGTCACTGATGCATCAATGACTATACTGGGACGTGCAGCTAGGCCTGAAAGGAGCGACTGGTTTGATGATGAATGTACAGCAGCACTAATGTCTAGGAATCGGGCTCGCTGATAAAGTATGTAGAAAGAATTAAAGAACTGCTTTAAATAAATGTCTGTGTAAGTAAGGAGTTTGAAGAAAGTGACCGGTGTATGGCCTTCAAAGAGGTTGAGACACTTAAAGAAGGGTTCAAACTCTCTTCTCTGCTCTGTAAAGACACAGAAGGAAATATCATCGGAGACATTGCAGGTAACAAACAAAGATGGAAGGAATATTTTGAAGAATTACTGAATTGAAATAGTAGTGAAGAAGATGGGACGATGCTGTCAGTTTACTCGGATGCCGCAACGGGGAAACTGACAGCCCATAGTAGAAACGCTTGGGGGGCGGATGCTAAGGGAGGCCACGGCCCGACTCTTGGGCCGTAGTGCCATCGGATGGATGAATGATGCTTCTGCATAAATTTTGCTACGTATTCTGAACAACGAACAGCAGCTGACATCTTTTAAGTGATACAAACTGCGCAACAGAAAATGGGGCAAAATAATTCAGCATATTTTCCTCATCCCAGAATAGATATGAATTACCAGCAACCAGCAACCCAATTATTCTTGTTTCTGGTAACTGACCACCTCTGTACCAAAACGTAGGTGGAAGTGGCATAATTTGTGACCACTTCTTTGAAAATTTCCGCTGATGTCCCTCAAAACAAGGTCACATTTTTGTTGTGATGTCGGAATGTGCTGTCCTCCTAAATATGGTGTCTGGGGACATTTGTCACAATTCTCTGTATGCTAGCGATGGCCTTGTTTACAAGTTAACAGTTCAATTTCACGTGCCTTTAATAAGGTATCTTCTGTATGAAAATTAGAAAGTAAACATCATTTTTTGTGAGATTTGAGGTTTTCAACGCAGTGAGTATGAAAATTGCTGCCTTCTGAGTTGTTTTAGAGGTCCTTCCTGCCTCAGTGATCAGGGTGCTGAGTAAAGAAGCACTTCTGAAATGGCAGTAAACTTCGACCAGACTGTGTAGAGCAACAACAGAAGACGGCCATACTCACGTCTTCAGACACAATTTTCTAGGGCAAGAATATTAACGCAATTTTTTCTTCTTTGCAGGTTATCTACAAGACCCAGATTTGGCATTAGGTTTTATTAACATACTATTAAGTATAGGATTTCTTTTTACAAGCAAAATGTTAATTGTGCACTCCACATTGTAGAGGCCGTCTTACCCTGCCGTTCTGACGGAGACTGACGAGGAAACTTCCAAGTCCACGTGTAATTCAGAGGTGAATTTTGAAATTGGAAAGTTGCTGTTGATAGAGCATTGAAGCTTTGTGTTCTTTTGTTTCTTATGTTACTGGAGGAGAATGTTTGCAGTTGTTCCCTACTCTGCTTAACACTTGTCTCAATATGACCTTAGTTCTATAGTAGTTGTCTGAAGTAGGTAAGTCCTAGTCACTGAAAAATTTTGTCCTCAGGCATGGTTCCGACAACTGATCTGAAAGCATAGTTAAGAGATTATTAATTCTGTGCCAGTTGCATAATTTGGTGTCTCATGAATATAGTCATTGGGAGTGGAAATAATGAACCACGAACTTTTAAACATTGGAAAATGTTTCGTGTAATGAATATAACATTGTTAAAATGTATGTAATGTTGTCTGTTTACTTCGTCTCCTGAAACCTACTGCCATTCACTTTTTGTTTCTTTTTCAATTACACCTTCCAGCTGTGAACACAATTATGAGTCACATATACATTAATAAAACCAAAATAAATACTTCAAGCCAAGAATATTAACTAATGTTCATGCCTCAGATGATGATGTAATCAATAAAGATGTGCGATCAAAATTGGTAACTAGCGGAACACGTAGGGACACCTACGTTCCATCAGAAACATGCAGCCATAGAGCAAAGCCCACGAGTAACTAGAAGTAGCCGCAGATGTACGCCTATAGGAAAGAGACGAGAGGTAACTACGATTGGACAACAAGATAATAAAATTGTTGCCTCAATCTCACGTAAGGAGGGAAATGTAGCATTCAGCATTAAAGAACCCACTTGGAGTGTAGGGCTAGAATAGTGGGAATTTTAAAATAAGTAACGTAATCTTCGGATTGGAAGACTCCCGACAGTGCCTCATCACTGAACGAAGGTTGTACCAATACGTATGTAGCCGATTGCTGCCAGCTAATTACAGAAACTGGTGAGACTGAGTCAGTGCAGTACAGAGTTCACCCAAAATGAACTTCAAAGATACTGTGAGGGTTGCTGCAGACAACTGGGAGGAGGAGCTTAGGTCTAATAATTTGTATATAAGGAGGCCACATGTGGGACTTCAGGGGGGAACTTTATTCTATTCAAATGATTCACGAACAACTTTCGTCCAGCTTCGACCGACTCGTTGCCTCCAGCATCGATGACAACGAGATTGTAATCTTCATACTCAACAATAAAGTATTCTTCTCTACAAGCACTGCAAGACTTCCACGCACCGCCAACCTGTGGCAAAACCGCTCGGCTACTCGTGTTCCTACCCCGAGGCAAGCTCGGGCCCATGAGCCTTGGGAAAAGGGGTACAACAGTGAATCGTCTGAACAAAGTGTTATATTTCTACTACAGCGTGGTTCCTTTCCCTGAAGACAAGCCCCACGTTCCTCTGAGCTAGGCTCCCGAATCAACCCCACAAATCCTATCACCACCTAAGGGTGCAACTGAGCTGGGCTTCTCCTAGAAAGGAGAAAGGGACGGTTGCAAACTATAAAAAAATATCACAGATTTGTTAATTAAAATGAATAGAATTCTTAGTTTTAAATCCTCTAATATCGTTCTAATATTTTATTCCATGTGTTTTAGTACTCCTTGTATTATTTATGGTTTGTAAAAACATTTTTTACTGAATATTTGTGCAACGTGCGTTAAAACTTGAGCATATGAAGATTGGGGTGCCATGGCACCTTTCTGAATGGAGTATTTCCAGTGTTAGAATTTTGAACAAGTTCAGAAATATCCTGGATTGGGAACGCATTTGAATCTACGTGTTCTGTGACTATGCATGAAGAATTGTGTGAACTGGACCTTTCATGATTGCTCCTGTGTTGATGTCCATGATGATGGTGATGTTTTTTCCTCCGTGGAGGAGGCAGTGCATAATCTAAATCTAAGATCACAGGTCCACTTTGATCTACTGCTATGGCGTTGCCGTAATACATCCAGCTTACGGAGTCGGTGTGAGGCTTTAAGTAAGCTGATTCTGCACCGTGACCATGGACATACAGATATTCAGGGAGACACAGGCATTTTGGTGGTTTGCATCCTCTTACTGTACCTCCATGATCTGCTAGTGTTACTCTTTTCATAATTCCCTTTTTTGTTGGTGATGGAGCGTGGTCGCATAATTGAAGTATGCAAGCGTGCGGAAATTCTCTCGTTGAGCGCGTGGATCCATGCCGGCATCTCCATTGCTCCCACCACCGTCAGTTTCCCGGATCCAGGATAGGTGTTCTGTAGGAACGCTTCCATATTTCCAGCAATAGCACGCAGGAGTGAAAGCGGTAGAAGATGAGCAGTGGGAGACCAATCCGCGAAATTATTCCCCATGCAAGGACTCCAAAAAATCGCAGTTGCAGTTCCTGGGACAACCAGCTCTGTGTCACAAAAGTGTCGTACGCCCAAAGAACGGCATTACTGCAAAGCAAGAAAGTAATCACTTGTCTTGCTGGCTTTGCAAGCATCTGATGCCGTGTTAACGTAGCCCTTCGCAGAGCTTCTGCTATCAGGACACTCTGTCCTGTGACCTGAACGAGTTGCAGAGCGCTGACCGCCAACAGCATTGCATGACGATGGGGAATCCCAGTATCTGTAATGTCACGAATACCAAGTCCACTAGCACCTACCACTATTCCAAACACAGCATACAACTGAACTCCCACTGTAGAGACATCAGACAGCAAGGTGTCGAGTGGAGTTGGTTCTTGACCTGATGTTGAAAGTCTTCGAATCTGGACGAGCCCCACGCTCGTCATGACGCAGCAGAGCCCTAGCATTGCAGCTACTGCTCCAGTTGTTAGCCAGAAGATGGTATCTGTGGGGAATTCCTCGTCTTCCTTAACGACCAGGAAGATTATGATAACCACAATTCCAGCAACGAGGCAGAGGATACCTAAGAAGAGGCCTTTGCTGGCACCACCGCAGTCCACGCTCCAGGTGCTGCGAAGGCTGTGTTCGCCTGCTGAAGGCATGGAACAGCCTTTGGAGTGGCTGTTGGCCAGCTTCTTCTGTTTCATGAAGATGCGGCCCCTGCCTACATTCTGGCCCATGACGAAAGTGACAGCGGCTGCAATTAAACTGAAAGATGACCGCAATAAGTAAGTACGGATTACATGTCGAATACTGATATTGAAATCAAGCAGGACTCCTACTCCCAACCCCAACTTACTACATTATTTTGGATATTATTTTGAAAAAGAGGCGTTTGTGACCACATGTTCACAGGAACATTTTTTTTTGATCGAGGAACACGCACACAAAGTTTGTAAACATACTTTTGACTCACTCTGTATGTGTATGTGCGCGCGCATGTGTATATATGGGACATGAGTTCTCCATTTACGTCTAATGTGGGGAAATGTTCCGTACAGCATAAAGGCAGCAGCGTAAATATAAAAACTTGTTCTTAAATGGTCAGCCATGGTTTGGTAGGCGATGTGGGGTGTCTACTACACTTACTAAAACTTGCAGGTCCTGGCATATGAACAAACCGTTCAGTCAGGTAGCAGTCTCCTGTGTTTTTCATTTAACGATGTTTTCAACTGACGAGTATGAGCCTGACTTAACATCAATCATTGAGATTTGTGCCTGTTACTTTCAGAATGACGTGTGGTGTAAAAATCTGGTGTTCCGTATGACCTTTTAGTGACCAGCTGCTTACCTGAACTGCACGATAAACGGGTACAGAAATGGCATTGAAGAAGTCCACAGCTGACCCAGAGTGTTGGTGTTGAGGCACTCATGAAGCGCTACGACCTGAGAGATGTGGGAGTCCGAGATTGGTCTGTAGCTGTAGTATGACGTTGCATTACTACCTGTAACATTCATGTATGAGTACACTTTTATTACAGTTCAATGTCATCATCCTCTTTCACGGTACAGATTATTTGAAATTTTGACTCTGAATATCATGCGATGATGCAGTGGGGACATGGAGGTGAAGTCCCGTTCATAACCTACGTGCTAGATTGATATGAGTGATAAGTGCCACGCACGAAGCCCCTGACTGTAAGGCTGATTGGCTGTCGATGCCAGTCGGGAGGTGCTGGCATGGAGATATGTCCGCACCTGTGACGTACTGAACTCCAGTTCCCGAGCCAGTCACTTTACTGAGTTAGCCAGCTGACGATATTGTGAACGAAGGTTTACACAGCCAAAGTAAACATCACTGTCATAATATTTTCACATTTAGACACCAAATGTTTCAAATTCCTTTTGGCATCGTCACTGGAGTTTTGTGATATGACCAGTGACATCTTCAGATGTATCTGGAAGTGAACTTTCACATTTGGCTGCAACATAGAAGTCAGATGAAGCCTTCAATAGGAAGCCAAAACTTAATGAATTTTAAAACAACAGTTATTTTCTTTGCCTTTGCGACCATTACCACCAACAGCGTCTTTGTTCTCATCTGTATCAGTAACGCACGTCCTGGAGTCCATGTTTGAGCCATAATTTTAAGTCACCAGTACTTTTTATATGCAGGTGATTGAAAAATCATGTAATCCAAAAATAAAATCATTTATTGAATTTAGTAGTTCAATAAAATTTCACTGGATTAACAAACACAATAACGCTGTGACTATGCAATAGCGCAGTCAGGTCTCGTCAAGTCGTAACCTGCTCCCGCAAGTCCACAAATTGTCTTTAAACAGTCAAAGTGCATGGCCATTTCTTTCACGTGTGCAACGAGTGTTCATCGTCAAATGCTACCTGGCATCTCTTTCTTAATTAACTTGCCAGAATGAGTTCAAGAGATACGTTTCTTGATTCACGTGTATCAAACAAATTTACTGTAAAATTCTTTACACGTTGCATCAAACTTGAGGAAAAAAGTGAATGCGTGCATCGCTGAATGAGATGGACATTTCCAGCATTTCCTATGGCATTGTTTGTTTTGTATTTTTTTCTGATTTCAGAGTAATTTTTTTTCTCGACAAACAGAACATGTGTCAGGAATGGGCGCACGGCTTTTCGATCACTCCGTATGTAAATTGTAAAGTGTACTATAAAACGTCGCCAAATTAATGTTTGGATTTCTCAACTTCAAGCTGAAACTGGTACGTCTACGTGTCATCAGAAAGTGGACAAGAGTCGGCATTCTGACGCTGTTCATCTTTGGGTACGGATGCCAAGTTCGCTGTGTAAGATGACGGAATGCTTGGCAAACTTGAAGTTTGTATATCCGAAGATTTAAAATTGTGAAACATGTATAAAAATAATTAAAGTTATGAAATGACTGTTATGCTTTTTGTTGCAATATCTTATTAAGACATGGCCATCTTAAGGAAATGAGGAATAGAAACATAAAGCCAAGATAATGAATCTCATCCAATTAAATGTAATCCATATCACTAAAGCTAATGCTGTCATATTAATTGTCTTTAAAGGGTTAAAAACTGCTGAATGAATACTCACTGAAGCTGAGGTCACGCTGGTGTCTGGCCACCACAGAGCGAGGGAAGCCCCTCAGCTGCAGCGGTGTTGGAATGTTATTGGAGACTCCGCCCCTCACACCACTGCTTTGAGACAGGTGTACAAAGTAAGTCCACTCATTGCCACTCTCCCAGACAATGAGGCGCACCCACAGCGCCAAGTTTGTCGCTGCCAGGTGCATGAAACCGAACCGGGCTGCCAGGCCAAATCTCTCGACGAGCACCTAAACACATGCCGTGGAAAGATTCAGATTTGCGGCTCCGTTGTTTACTGTTATGATACGGATGTCAGGAGATGAGAATGTAAGGGAACTTGAATGGGAAACGGCGCTGAGCCCTGTACCCTCTCCTTGCACATGAGATGCATGTGACGTAAAAAGTACAGAAATTTAAATTATATGTTTAAGAAATTAGTAAATGAACTAACGCCATGCAGCAGGGTGTTTCACAAACGTATAGTCACTGATCTGGTACAGAAATTCCCTGCCTCTTATGGAAATGTGTTCGCAAGAATCTACCGCTAAATGGTATCGGGGAATCAATTCGATCCAATCCGTGTCCCCGTGAGATGAACCTTCGGCTTCTCCATGCCGGCTAGTCAGTTAAATCATTTACAACGTTGTGAATTTTTTGAGGAGAAGTTTCCAACTGAAAGGGAAATACTGAAGAAATTGGTTTAAAATTTAACTAAAAGTTCACTTGATAGCAAGACAGGTATATGGCACGTGTTTTGAATAGTATTAAATCTAACGGACTGTTGACTTCTGCAGCTATAAGAGGTCCTTTCCTCCTGTGGAGTCGCGCGTTAAAATTTCTGAGAGAACATTTGTTGAAATGAAAGCGGCGGAACTGACGTAGTAGAAGGTCCTTGACCCTGAAGGTATATAATGTATATATAATACTGCATGACTGCCCCATTCAAAATAAATAAAGTTAAATTTGAAAATAAGTATAAATTTTTCAATAACCACATCATTGTGTAGTTATAACGTGACGCCTGAGGAAAATACATACATGGTAAGAGGCAAAACTACTTTTTCATATTCTGTTCATCGTTCCTCGCTCGACTGGTTACGGAAAAGAGAATTTGATGAAGTCGTATTGCGAGTCTTAGGTTCGTAGGTCACACCTGTGAGTTGACGAACAAGAAGTGCATCTGGAGGAATGTGAAGAGACCGTGGAGCACTGGATGGATGAAGACGACGTCATTGAGACACGCACCTTCCATCATGGAATGCATTGCCATCTCCAGGCCATTGAATACCAAGGTCCCAAGACCAAACGCTGCAACGTCACATAAAAAGTCATCTCATTAAACGCATGGTACCGGCTGATTATAAACAGCAAAGAAACAGGTTCTGTTTCCTAATCAACCTGAAGCTAAGCTTTCTGATCATGGACCTCCGAAACGTCGGTAAAGTTCAGCTGTCTCTCTCTCTCTCTTTCTGAAAGTAACTTACCCAGAGCACCAACACGCAGGTAGAAGCTGGTGCCTGAGGTTTTGGCTCGCGAGATGTGAGCTCTCTTCAGGGAACCGAACCTGGCGAGAGTCAGGCCGCCGCCTAGCTCGGCGTCAGGATCACCCGCTGTCGCGGCGTTGGCAGGCGACGTCACCAGCACCTATTACAGCAAATTTAACAATTTACTAAATGTTTCTTTTCAGCGCTTTGGCGCGTAACCCAGAATATCAACATTTTCAAAAATGTTGATGATGTTCAAAAAGCGCACATTATTTATAATTTTGAAAAATTTCAAACTCAAAAAAAAAAAGGTCTGAAATTTTGAAAAAAATTAGTTTTTTATAACATCATTGAAATTTCTGTACGTTTTTAAAACATTCCAAAATTTTAAAAGGCGTTCCACAAGACACAAGGGTCCGGCGGAGGCCAGGTCCAGCAGAGACTGGGTGCGAATTTAAAAAAAAAATCAAAATTTTAAAATTTTTCGAAAAATCAGCAAATGTTGGAAATTGCTCAAAATGCGCACAATACCATACAATTTTGAAAATTTTCTACTTGAAAAAGTTTTGAAAATTTTTCGTTTAATACGTTTTTTGACATTTACGACCGTTTTTAAATTTTTGAAAATGTTCGAAATTTGAGAGTTGTTCCACCAGGCAGAGGCCGAGTCCGGTAGAGACGGTGGGAATTTTGAAAAACGTTTCAAATTTATAAATATTTCCGGAAAATCAAAAAATCTTGGATAATGTCCAAAAAGCGCACAAAACTAAAACTTTTTGGAAAATTACGACTTCAAAATGTTTTAATTTATTTTGTTATTTTCGCCTTTCATGACATTATGACCATTTCTAATAAGTGTGGGTCCGACAGATAGCATGGGTGGGAAGGAATTTTAAAATAATTTCAATTTTTTTTACAAATTTTAGAATTCAAAAATGTAGGAAAATTTTCAAAAAGCGTAATTACAAATTTCAATTTTTTTTAAAAATATTTTAAAAACCTTCGTTTTTTGCGCTTTTTAGACAATTTCCAGCGTTTTTTGATTTTTCGAAAATTCTGATAAATTTGAAAATTATAAATAAATCCCTGACAGACTCGGTGTGTACCTCAACCGGTCTCTTTCGGATCCGGTCCTTGCAGAGACGGGTTGTGTCAGGTTTCGGGTGGGGTGAATTTTGAAAACAAAATTGGAAATCTTCAAAAATTAACAACCTGCCTGCATCCCTAAGAGCGACAAACACGCTTTGGAGTGTTCCTTCATCCAAGCAAAACAACAGATCTCACTCACTGCTTTGAGCCGAAGACGTTTCAGAGGTAATTCCTGCCTCCATCATCAGGGATATCACTCATCGCCCTGATGACGGAGGC